CCCATTTTCTGGCAGAGTCTGGGGTACGGCCCCTTCCAGGCATGGTGACATCACACATCGGTCATCTCGTCCCCCAGCTCTGCATCTTCTGCCTCTCCTTCTTCCTCCTCTTCATCCTCCTCCTCTGAGGTCACGTTGGGTTCATCAGCTTCTGCCAGGCATTTGGGGCAGGAACAGACAAACAGATAGTTCTCCCTGCAGCGGATGGGGGGATGGTGAGGGTGAAACGTCAGGCAGCCGCTGGGATAGAGGATCTGAGCCCAGCTGCCCACCTCGTCCCCAGGAGGCACCTGAGGATCTTGTGGCGGCTGTGGCGGCTGCGCTCCCGCTGGCAGCAGTCTAAGTAGCTGATACAGATTTCCTGGAAGGCAGAGAAGTGGGGTCTGACAGTCTGTGCTATTAGATGGGATGAGGGACTCCCCGGTCACTACTCTACTCCAACTTCTCCATCCCCAAGGGCCTGAGCTGCCCTTCAGTGACGGGGTGGGCTGCCCCGATCCATTCCTCTGTCCTCAGCAAGCAGGTCACTACAAGGCTCTAACAATCTACACATGAGGAGAGAGGGGACTGCAGTGGGCCTCAGGCCAGGCTTAAAGGCATTAAGGGCAAGATCAGTGGCCAGGTTTAGAGGTTATCTTGGTGAGATGCAACTTGTCCTGGAAGGTTCAACCAGGCTGTGTGCAGCACTGACAACCAGGACCCCAAACCCACACTAGCTCCCCATAGTCCCAGCCACAGAGCCATCTCCTGCTTTCTTAGATGTTGCAGTCCTTCGTCACAAGGTAGCTGGGGACAAGAACCTGGCACACGGCTGTTTCTCAAACACTGCTCTGAGGCTTTCTGGAGTAATTTTTTAAGAGGTGGGGTTAGGGCATATTTAGGGGCAAAAAGACTCATGCCCTGGGATGTGGGGGGTTCACTCAACAGCCGGAACTTAAGGCCCTAGCCACTGCCGCTCTCAATCTCTAGAGAACTTGCAAGGCCCACTGCCACCCCCCATGCTCCCCGCAGCTCCCGGCCCCCTCACCTCTCCTGGCTTAATATCCTCCAGGGCGGTGACATGCAAAAGGAAGTTGTTTTCTGGGAAGGAGGTCTCTGCATTGGGGACACAGCTGTGGTTGCCTGGGTCATGAGAGGCAGGTAATGAGAACTGCTGACTAATAAAAACAGCCTCAACTCTGCAGAGCACTAGGTCCCATCCTTCCTTGTTTTCTGGAAGGATGGGATCTATCTAGGGCTGTGCAGATCCTGGAACTCAGGTTTCTGACTCCCTGTCCAGTGCTCTTTCCTGAGACCATTGAGGCACAAGTGTATCCCACATCGCTCCCTCCCCCACCTCTATGTCGGCCCTCTTCACTGGCCACCTTGACTCTCAGTTGTGTTCCCAGTGTCTCACAAAAGAGGGACAGGGCTTTGAAAGGGCTGCCTGTGCCAGACCACTAACTCAGTCCTGTCTGCTGCTGGTCATCTGGTAACAGGTGAGCCCAGCCCTCTGAGAGCCTGGTTTGGGAGGACAGAGTGGCTCTGGAACCTGGGAAGAGGATTTTCAGTGGGGAAACTAGAGGATGGGAGGCTGGGAGCTAGAACAGACAATAGTCTGAGCGCACTACCCCTTCCCAGCAGGTGGGGACTGCCTGCTAGCCTGAGTTCCCTCCTCCCCAGCTCCTGAGGGCTCCCAGGCGCTCACCACACGTCCCTGCCAAATTTCGCAGGCAGTGGTGGTGCACAGCTCATGCTTCCCTTGAGAAAATCAGAGCTCAGTGCCCTGCGGAGCACAGGGCCTGACCCACTGGGAGTTTTTATATATAAACATATATTAAGGCACCAGCAGTCCAATGAATGAATGAATGAAAAACTGATGGACCAAAAAGGACCAGAGGAATCTCCAAGGGAAGCTCAGATCTAACCCCACTCCCAGACTCAACCCCATCAGCCTAGAAGGAGCGAAACAAAAGAGATGAACTGTGACTACGAGGGCACTGCGCCTCCATGTCAGGACTCACAGCAGCTCTGAAGCACAAAGAGGCCTGATCCTTCACAGTTAAGGAACTCGCCAGTTGCTGTAAGAAGTAATATGCAGGTGTTATTCTACCCATTTTATAGAGAAAAGGAAACTAGGTTTATAAGGAAAGGCACTGCCTCACCGTCCTGCCACCCTACCACACGAATGAGCTGATCCCGACCATTTCACCTGAACTTACATCTCTGAGGCATGAGCCTTGCTTTTCTGTAAATGATAGCGCTCTATTTGTCCAGCACTCCCCCACCCCCAGCATCGAGCCTTGCACAGATCTCAGGCCCATTTCTCATCGGACTGTCCCTCGGACAGATCTGAAGCTTCCCACAGGCACACAGGATTCTGTCCCCCATCAACTCAGAGGTCCCTGGGGAAAACTGTGTCCACTATTTGACCACAGGTGTGGGGGGTGGAGGGTGGGGGGTGGTGTCTCCATTTCACCCACCTGCCTCGATGTCCTTGTACAGCTGGTCAATGAAAGCATCCAGCTCCTCGCGGTCCTGTGGCTTCAGCTCCAGAGCGTCACAGGCATGGACCCACTGGCTCAGGGAGCTGGGGGTCCCAGGCAGCGGTGGATGGAGAGCAGGAGGCCCAGCTAACAGGGCTCTCCACCTCCAGGCACGTTAAACCCATTCCTTTCTCCAGGGTCGGGGCCCCGTCTTCCCCACAGACCAAGAATCCCAATCGGAGCAGACTCCACCAGCTCAGTCTTTCTGACCCCCCATCACTATGTGCAATGTAGCACTCTGGCCACAGAGCTGCACCCTGTCCCACCTAGTCTTGATGGGAGCTGTGGCTACCTTCCTTGGTCCATCTCCCACCCAGGCCCCAAGGGACAAGTCCAATGTATCTGGAACAGTGTCTCCTAACCTGGTCCCAATTCCTTGGCCATTGGTCCCAACAAGAGCAAAGAGAGACCGGAATCCATCTGGAGTGAACCACTGTGGGGGAGAAAAGAGATGAGCACTCAGGTTCCAGCCACTTGTTTTTCTTCCTGAACAACCCTATGTTCAGGCAGTCTCTGTGAGTCAGTCCTAGCCCAACTCCCGAAGACCACGTCAGCTGTCGCTTGGCTGTCCCAGTAGAAAATGCCGACCCAGTTGCCCCTAGAGAGCTGGAGTGGCTGGGGAAGACACTGGTCCCACCCTCCTCACACTCACCTGGCTGAGTGCTTCCTCATAAAGGGCCTCTGTGAAGAGTCTCCGCAGAAGTTCCAGTTGGCCCTGGTTTAGGAAAAACAGGGAGAGACTTGCATCCCTGAGGATTTCCCGTCAGCACCCAGGCAGGGCCCAGACGACCTTGGGAGGGAAGGAAAAGGGCCAGCTCTGTAGACTGAGCTTTCCCTGGGGGCAAAGGAAGGCCACAGTCCTTATTTGCAAAGAGCCACGGCAGTCCACTGGTCTACTTCAAACCAGAATGGCAAGCCCCAAATCCCTCCCTATTTTCCAGCCCTCATTGCCAGCAGGGCCAAGGGAGCCTGGCTTCGAACACCAGCTCTCACCACCAACCTCCAGCCACCCCTAACTAGCCTCCAGACCAGCCCGACTCTCCCCCTCCACGCTTTCCTCAGAACTCACTGCAGGAAGACCCACCCCAGATGCCTTTTCACACATCTGCCTCCACCTTCACGCAGCTCCTGCGTGGAAATCCACTGGCCTCAGATTTTGTAATTCTTTGATTGGCAGTGGGTACTTACTGTTCCCTGACCCTGTGGACTTCCAACCCTCCATCTTTCATTATACCTGATACACCCACTGCTGTCCTATCATATCAGGGCACCCCTCCTTCCTCTGTCATTATCCCACTTCCCAGTTTGGGGTCCACATTAGGTCATGAAGTTAAATAATGGCAGGAATGTTAAGTCCTCTGAATAGATTTTTCACTAGGAAGGGACCAAATGTGGAGCTCCCTCAGGAAGCCACAGAATATTCCAGGCTATTGGGGTGGAGGGGTCATGGGAAAAGACCAACCTTGAATTTGTCCCCCAAGAGTTTGTGGACAATTTCTTCCTCCTCATTGGCTGTTTTATTACAGAACTGGGAGAAGAGCCTGATCCAGCGATCCTTATCTTTAGCCTGCAGTGAACAGATGTTTCAGGTCACATTCACACACCCCTATGCATGCGTGTGCACACATGGACTCAGACACCACATCCTTACTGCCACTGTTGCCCCTGCATCACACCTGAGCTTCTAGGTAGACCCTTCCCTTGATCTGGGACTTCCTTCCAACCCTGTATATCCCCGGCTATCTCCCCAAGCTGGGGCCAATCTAGCCAATTTAACACTTGAGCAACAATAGTAATAGGAGGGGTTAGCATGGCTTCTCTCAATCCTAAAAAAGTGGTGCTTACAAACCCAATGCATGAATTGCTGCTGCACAAGAATGTCCTCTCAGAGGTGAAAGATTATAGGCCAGATGAGTGCCCACTCCCCCTGCAGGTGTATGGTTATCAACCCCTAAGGTTTCCGTGGGAAGCAGTTCCCTTAGAAAGCCCAGAGGAGCACTGCATCCCAGCAGGAGACTGAGGCCGAGGGTTGAATGAAGCCTTTTCCGCTTCCCTGCAAGGGTCAGGTGGGCTCACCTGCTTCACTGTGGCCACCATCCGGGCCATCAGCATGATGCTAGCAGTCTCAGGGGGGTAGTGAACACTCCTGGGGAGAAAGAAAAAGGTTTAGCTCAGGAATTCCCTCCAAGTAGCGGATTTCAAGGACGTCCAGTCCGACTGCTACAGACTGGAGAGAGACAGTCATCGGCAAGGGCCTGGACAGGACTTTACATTCCTATAGGCTTAATGGGAAAGTGTAAAATGTTGAGGATGGTGGGACTGGCAGCTCAAACAAAAGGCAGGGGCTGGGTAATGTGACCTCCGTAAGAATGGGGTGGGGGAATTCTGGGAGATGGTAACTTAAGAAAAATGGCTGCATCTGTTGAGCCCAGGCAGGGAGGCAGGAGAGGGAGGGGTAAAGGAAAGAAGAGATGAAATGCCACCTACCTCCATGCCTCCTGCAGCTTATTGAGAGGATGCAGGGGGTCATCCTGGGAGGGGCCTGGGCACAGGACCCGATGGTATTGCTCAGCAGCTGCCAGCCGACATTCTGCACTGCAGTACATCACCTGTGGGAGCGTGGAGGTCAGCACTTCAGGCTGGTGAGGCACAGATGTCCCAGGTGCTACTCACCTCCTCTACCTGCATTCCTTCCACAAACAGCCCCTGAGCAGTGGCCCAGGGTACTGTGACACGAGAAAGCATACAGCACTCTGGGGGCACATGAGGGATCCCCTACTAACCCAGGCTTGGAAAACCATGGAAACAAGGAGAGCTTAGCAGGTAGAGGGGAGAGCCCCCCAGGATCTTAGGAAGAGGACAAGCTCCCATCCAGCCTATTTAGACAATGGGACTGGAACAAGAGGATGAAACTGCAACAGTAGCTGAGCCTTTCAATGTCTTATCCTACACTGTGGTTCTCAAGGGCTATGACCAGGTCCGTCTTCGCTGCTGACTCCCCAAAGAGGACTTCAGCTAAGGTCTCTTTCAAAAGTCCCTTCCCGGTACCCTCCCCAAGGACACTCACCTGGCAGTGGGGACAGTTCTGGTGGAGGTCCTTGCGCACAGTGCACAGCTCAGGGTGAGGCAGCACCTGGCCGGGTCTCCCCGTCAGCCTCCGGGCATTCTCCTCTGCCTTCTCCAGTGCCCGCAGGCAGTGGTCACAGGCTGAGGAGAGACAGACACGACAGTGTCTCGAGAGCAGGGTCCACATTTGTCATTTTCACAGCAGTATCCCAGGGCTAGAACAGTGCCGGGCACAGAGTGGACGCTCACAATGTTTAGAAAGTGAGGAAATGAATACGTTCAAGAATGAAATGAAGGAATGGATTTCATATGCATTCAAAAGTAGAGGATTAACTAACCTCTTTCCTCTCTGGAGTCCCCACCCTGCCTGTCACAGGCACCCTGCTTCTCAATGGGACTCAGTCTGTGGGGCTCCCATCGCTTCTCCCAGACTGGGCTTTCCCCACATTTTGGAAAAAAGTGACCCTCCTTCCACAGTTTATCTCTGGCCTAAGACAAGAGTGGGGGGAAGCATGTGGCTGGTTTCTGACCCTTAATGCAGCCTTTTTCACCAAGGGGCATGTGGCCTCTGGGCAGAAGGCTCCACTTTGGCACGGAGCCCTTCAGCATGACATCCAGTCCCTTATATTATTAGGGTGGACTCTGAGTTCCACCCGAGTGACAGCCCTCCCCCAGGGAGCACTTCGGAAAAGCCTCTTTCCTACAGGCTCACAGCCCCTAACAGCCTGAGAGGAGACAGTGTTCTCGGGCAGTTCTCCAAGGGAAGACAGCCTTTCCTCCTCACATCCCAGGGACACCCACCAGTAGGGAGTATGCAGCTCTCTCCATGCAGAGGCAGCTGGGCCAGCAGCCATGAGGCATGGGATGTGCTCACCTCGGTAGCGATAAAGTGCATTCCAGAGAAACTGTGCAGCCACCAGGGGCCGTTCTACAAAGATGGTCTCCCCCTTCCGGATCAGCTGTGTGGCAAAAAGCCCCTTTCCCTGAGAGGGCAGAGAAGGAGCAGGATGGCCGTTAGAAGAGGCAGAGGACAGTTCCAAGGCTCCTGGAGGGCCACCCCGCCTCACCCCCACATGCTACCTCTTAGCAGAGGCAGGAGGGTTCACGGAGCATGGTCAGCACCCCATTACTGCCTCCGCTCTGACCTACTTTCAGTCACACTTCTTTCAGCCTGTTCAGAGAAGAGGGCCCGGGATGTCAGCCACCCCAGAATACCCATGGGGGAATTTTTAGAATGGCCAAAGGAGGGCCAGAGCTCATAGCAGGCTGGGGCCTCCTGTACCAGGAGCTGGTAACAGCAGGGCAGGCTTCTCTGAGTCACCCACATGCTCCTCCAGGATCCGGGCAGTGATGCTACTATTAATGGTTGCACAGAAATCCTACACCATGGGAGAGGGAGGCCCAGTTTGGGGGAGAATGTACCCTATTTCCCTGGTTGGACGAATACTCACAGCACCTGGCATAGTACCTGGCACTCAACAACTTCTCAGAGGTTACTCTGAAAAGAATGACTAATCGTAGCACTAATCCTAATGCTTATTTGCTTGAACTTTTGAGCTAATTGCTTCACTTCTTTGCATGTTTCCCACATGAAAAACGAGTATTTAATAATATCGAACAGGTATTTCCCAGGATATAGCACAGGCCACGCACCCCATTAGCTCTAGCTCCTTACTACTCAAAGTGAGGGGATGGACTGGCAGCCTGGGCATCAGCTAGGAGACCGTCAGAAATGCAGAATGTCCGGCCCCACCCCAGGCCTGCTGAATCAGAATGACTTTAACAAGATGCCCAGGTGGTTCATGTGCACGTCAGAGTTTGAGAAGTAGTACGTTGTCTAAAGCATCATACACATCGGGAAAAAGACGAAGGATGAGAAGACAATCGCTGAATTGCATCTCTCAGAGTGCAAAGGGATTCAGGAGACAGCTTTAGAACCCAGGGAAGTTACTGGCCCCCTGAGGCATTTACTTCACCGTTCACTCAGAGAAGTGCCTTGCAAACACTGAATTGTCACAAAAGGGAGAGAGAAATATGATCAGCACAGCAGTTAAATGTCCTGTCATGTGGCCTCACGGGTAGCACCCTGTCTTCTAGCATTGGAGCTCTGGCTAGACAGGGACACCTCCCCAAGTCAAAGCAGCAGGAAGTGCAGACCAGAACAGGCCCTGCAAAACCCATGAGCCACAAAGCTCAACCCTCTGAACAGCTCTGGGAGCTCTCACAGGAGAGTGGGCCGCTGGAGCAAAACTACTGGGCAAAGCCGTGGATGCACTTTGGCTGTCTTCCTGAAAGCCCCACCCTGTACCTTGGGCCCCTGGGACCCAATCTCCCAAAATGAAATTTGGCCTTCTGCTACGGGACACAAAGATGTGAATGTTATCTCTGACAGTCTCAAATCTCAGTATTAGATAAATATTGATCTCTTTCTTGAGGACCAAAATGTAGACAATATCTAGTAATCAAAACAAAGTGAAAAGCAGAACTGTTCCTCTATAAAACCACACATTCCCCCAAACATGTGAAAGTGTTTCAAGAAAACAGCTCTAATTCATGTTTCCAAGAAGCTTGGAGAGAACTGAACCTGAAAAGAAAGGGCACAAAGTATGCAAATATATTTCCAATTTGGTAAATAAAAAAAATGTACAAAACTCTAAGACTGCACTAAATTTTTAAAATCTTTATTAAATAGATGATTTTATTAAAAAATATAAATTGCCAAAACTTAATTCAAAAGTAAGAAAGCCTCACCCTAGCTGGTTTGGCTCAGTGGACAGAGCAACAGCCTGCGGACTGAAGGGTCCCGGGTTCGATTTCAGTCAAGGGCACATGCCCGGGTTGCAGGCTCAATCCCCAACAGGGGGCATGCAGGAGGAGCCGATCAATGATTCTCTCTCATCATTGATGTTTCTATCTCTCTCTCCCTCTGAAATCAATAAAAATATATTTTAAAAAAGTAAGAAAGCCTCGACAGACTAAAAAGCAGTGCTGTTTTCTGGCGGATATGGACCAGTATGGCATTCTGGTTGGCATCACTGCATTTGATCAGGTTTCTGTTGTGATTAGTCACGTCCCTGGCATAAGAGTTGGTAAATTTTTAAGAAAGCATTCTTGCCAATATCCATAGAAGCAATACAGTGATCAAAACTATCCCATGTGAGGCTCCTAATCTATATGGTTTTATGAGCCAGCTCTGTCAGACCAAAGAATAATTCTCATGCTATTTAAACTATACAGTAGTGTAAAGCTTCTCCATTTTACTCAAAAACAAAACAAAACTGATGTGGTAACTGGGGAAATTACACAATATAAAATCATAAACCAATCTCATTTGATGGCTGTAGATGCAAAGAGCCTACTATCTTGTCACTAAGTCTGGGTAGGTGTATGCTTTTCTCCAGCAGCAGATCGGGTGTAGTCATGGGGAGGGCAGCCAGCTCATGCTTCCAGAGCTGGGGTTTTGACAGGACAATTCGGCAAGGAGAGTGGCTGGCCTAGTAATGAAGTGAGAGGGAAGAAGTGAAGAAAGAAGGGGGCTGAGAGATGGGGGGCTAAGTGATGGTAAAGGTGAAAATTTCTGCATGCCAGGAGTGCCTGAATGAGACACCATCCAAGTGCAAGCCAATCAACACTAGGGGTCCTGGGGGGAGATGGAGGTGTGAGCAGCTCCCAGGATGCAAGGGAGTGGAGTGCCATGCACGGGGAGGAATGCTCCCTGTCCCCTGGGCGGAAAAGGGGCAATGGAATTGGGTTGGGCCTCTGACATGGGCAAAGGCTAAGGATACAGACAGCCCCTCCACAGGATAAATGATTCAACCTCTAGTAAACAAAGAAATGCCAATGAGAACAAAGCAGTACCATTTTGCACGTATCAATCGGCCACGATAACTCAGAGGAAATCCTCAGTGCTGGAGAGAACAAAAGGACGTGTGCTGGGAAATGAGCTGCCCGGTCTTTGACCTCCGGGGAAAAATCAGATGGAGCGCAAGGGCCTATAGATAGGGTTTGGCTGAGGACATGCCGCCCTCCCGTGAAATCAACTAAAACGATTATTTAGCTCATAAAAACGAATATTCAGAAATAGGTTTAGGAGACGGTACGATTTACTGCTGCATCAAAAAGCCGTTTTTAAAAATGTGACCTTAGACACATATCTGCACAAGACTAGGATTGCCGGTGATTTTTCCCCCCTTCTTTCTTTACATGCAAGTTCACATTTCTTACGACGAACTTTGAAAAAAGCAAGAACAAAAGTGAAAAAATCACCTCACTCTCCTGCTCCACCCCTCCAAATGCTCCCAGGGGCTGCAGATTCCGGTCCAAGCGCTCCCAGGCCCGTCCTCACCCCAAACCCCTCCAGAAAGTTCCCGAGGACCCCCGTTTTTTCATCTCCGTCCCCTCGGCTCACACATCCCCGCCCACGGCGCCCGGGGCCCAGTAGCACCGATCCGCGGCCTGGGTCGGGAACCCCGACACAGCGCGTGACCGCCCCGAAGCCTGTGCGCGGGGACAGACCGAGCACCCCCACCCTCCGGCTGTGAGCCGCCAGGATCCCACGAGGCTGTTCCCAAGGCCGGATGGGGTGGGGGTCTTCTCCGGCCTCACCTTGGAGCTGCTCACGAAGCGTACTTCCACGGAGACCCGGGCCCGGCCCGCCACGCCCATGCAGAAGGAGAACACGTCGCACATGGAGGCCGCCATCTTGGGCGCGCCTCCTCCTCCTGACCCTTGACCCGGGCCCGGGAGGCCCCGCCCCCACTGGCCCCGCCTCCGGTTTGGCTGCTGGGGTTGACCCACGCGGGAATCCGAATTTGGGTCCGTGTGATCTATGTTTAGATCCACTGGTGTGTGGACTGGGTGGAGCTGGGCCTGCCTTTGTGCTTTTTAAAAGAATGTTTTTTATTGAATTCAGAGAGGAAGGGAGAAGAAGAGAGAGATAGAAACATCAATGATGGGAATCACTGATCGGCTGCCTCCTGCACACCCCACACTGGGGATCGAGCCTGCAATCCCTGCATGTGCCCTGACCGGAATGGAACCCCGACCTCCTGGTTCGTAGGTAGATGCTCAACCACTGAGCCACTCCAGCTGGGCCTGTGCCTTTGTGCTTTTACATTTGTGCAGTTTTGCATCTGTCTCTGTCTTCGTGGCCCGGATGGGCCTGTATCAGAGCTGGTGTGCTGTATAGTTTTGTTGTGTGCATCTGTGTCTGAGTTCATGTTTGTGTGTCTGTTGTCTCTGTCCATTCACTGGCGCGTCTTGACTAAAGCAGTCTTTGGACCCAGCCGCGGGGTAGGACAGCAGTGGGCAGAGTTACTCCTATCCTCTCTAACCCTCAACCTGAAGGGAAAGACTAGCTTACTCCGCAAAGTCTGGCACAATATTTCCCTTCTCCGTGGGCCCTCTGGCAGCGGGACAGACAGTCCTACCAATGATCAAGTTGGACTTATTCCTGTCTCAGACTCTTCAGCGGCTTAGGGACTTTGCAGCCGGGGACAAGGGGCGGGGTGGAGTAGGATCCATGGTGGATGTCACATCTGAGATCCCCTAAAATTATATGCAAGTGAGTATACATATGCACATTGTCCTGACAACCAGAGAGGGGCTGTTTTCCCATTCAGGACCCCAGGAAGCTGCAACCACTGATCTATAAGTCATGGGTCCCCACAGCCAGGCCTGACCACCATGCCCTGTTTCCTTGTCTTCCAACTGATTCTGTACTCTTGAAAAGGGACCCGTGTCTGCTTCTGCCGTGGTCCCATGGCGACATTTGGGGATTGAGTAGAGCCCAGTAACTGCTGAAAAGGTAACTGTTGATTTAAAAAAAAAAATAGTGAGCCAGTTGTTCCTGAAAGAGGCAGAAAAGATTCAGCTGGGTTCTTTGATTAATGGAGTTGCCTTTGGGTCCTGCATTAGGAAGGATTTCCCTGAAGATGGGTACAGAGAAGGGTTCTTGGAGCTGGACCCTGGCCTCCCTCACGCCTACAGCTGGTGTCCAGGAGAGGATGGTCCACTGCTTTGGGAAGCAGGTGGTTTTCCAAGGCTGACTCTACTGCCTGCCTTTCCTCTCTCAGAAAACTAGAGCAGCAGGGACGGTGCCCTCTTCCACCACCAGGTGGCAGGGCAGGCCTCCTTCCACCAGCTCACCTCCACATTCTAAAGCAGTGGTTCTCAACCTTCCTCATGCCGCGACCCTTTAGTACAGTTCCTCATGTTGTGGTGACCCCCAAGCATAAAATTATTTTCGTTGCTACTTCATACATCCTGATATGCAGGATGTATTTTCATTGTTATAAACTGAACATAATTAAAGCACAGTGATTTATCACAAAAACATAGCAGTGTTATATATGTGTTTTCCGATGGTCTTAGGCGGCGACCCCTGTGAAAGGGTCGTTCGACCCCCAAATGGGTCGCGACCCACAGGTTGAGAACCGCTGCTCTAAAGAAATAGTCCCACCACAGCGCACCACCCAGGAATGTGGAGCCTGAGAGAAATCTACTCTGAAAATGCTTGTGACTGTCTTCCCTGAGGTAGGCTATCAGTTCGGCTTCTTAGAGACAAACCAAGCAGATTCCGGAGAAGAAAAGTCAGGGTAGTGAAGAAGGGTAAAATAATCACTGTTTTATGAAAAAACAGCAGAGTTTTATGATAAAATGCCAGCCTTGGCAGAGGCAGAGTCAAATTACTCTATATAAAGATGCGGGGGGGGGGGGGGGGGTTAGGAAGGGAAGCTAGAGGGAAAGATGGCGGTCAGGGTAGCATGTCTGCTTCAAGGAGGCACCTGGGCCTGAGTCCCTTCTGAGAGTTATAACAGTTCAGACAAAACAAGAAAGCTCTGGGGAACCTTGTGAGGGGAAGTGGACTAAATAGCCTACCTTTCCCTCTTTCTTTTGCTGTCAACTCTACCATTTCTGTCGGGGAAGAGTCTTCTATGCCCAGACATAGATTCAAGGAGCCTCTCTCTGCTCCACAACCAGGCCAGGAAGAGATTAGTCCCTGGGGAAGCCAGGGCTGGTACAGGCAGCACTCCCCCAGGTGAAGGGGTCTATAAGCCTTGACAGTTGCCACACACTTAGCACTGGGCCTGGCACACTGTAAGTGCTTTACAGACATCATCTTAGCCCTGGGAGCTCTAAGCTAGCAACACACCCATGATACAGGTGAAGAAAAAAGGCTCAGAAGTTCAGTAACGTGGCCAAGGACATAGCTGAAGGTCAAAGTCTGTGCTGCTGACCATTACATGATTGCAGCTCCCAGGAGTCAATATGGAAACGTTCTCAACGGTTCAGATTTCCCTGGTGCCCGTTGACCCCGATGAGACTCTTTGTCAATATGTAGAGCAGATCGGTCCAGGGCGTGTCCCCAGGAAGAGCTAGCCCGCAGCCTGGGTTGAGCCTTCATCCCAATCCTCAGCTGTCCCCTCCTGACTCTGTGTCTGCTCTCTGGATGATGGCGTCAGAGCTGCTGGAGGGCTCGTCTGGGGAGGCAGCCATGGCCGACACAGCTGGTGGTTTCAGCCTTTGCTGCTTCTGATACTTGACCCTGCGGTTCTGGAACCAGACCCTCACCTATAATTGGAGGCAGTGGGCAAAGATCAGAGTGTGACTAGCCATTCCCATGACTCCCCCCATTCCCACAGTACCCACTCCACTCAAAACTGGCTCTTCCATTTAAGAGAAGCATTGCCCCCCGCACATCCTTTCCTTAATTCCAGTTGCCATTCATTCATCGTTCATCCAACAAGTATTTTTTGAGCTTCTATTACGTACTAGGCACTACTCCAGGTGACGGTGATACAGTGGTGAGCAACAGAGGCATGGTCCCTGCCCCCATGAAGCCCACAGTCTAGTAGAGAGAGAGACTAATAACAAGCATGAAAACAAACACATAGATAAATGCAAGTGGGGGTAAAACAGGGGTTTGAGAGTCCCTGAGACTCAGTGGATAAGAGGCCAGCCTGGTGGGGACCGAGAAAAGCAGGCCAGGGCAGGGTATGAGCTGTAGGAAGGCTCTGAGGTAGAACCAAGCTTGGAGCATTTGAGGACCAGGAAGGAGGAGAGCATCCCTGGCTCAACCAAAAGTGAGAAGAGAAAGTAAAGGAAGAGAAAATGGAGGAGGTCAGTGAGGGCCAGATCACCCAGGACTGTGAAGGTCAGGGGCAAGGAATGTCAACTTGAAGGCTTGTAAGTGGAATGTGACATAGTCCTATTTACTTGTTGAGTCTTATTTACATGGCACATCTGGCTGCTGTGTGCAGAATGGATGAAAGGAGATGCAGGGGGATGACAGGGAGGTTCTTGCAGTGATCCAGCAAGAGCTGGGGCTGATAGGACTGGGGCTGATATGGACTGGGGCAACGGAGAGAGATGAAGCGATTCCAGCAGTATTTTGGAGTAGAGGTGACAAGGCTTGCTGACGAGTTGATAGTGGGAGAGAAGGGGAAATCTAGAATGACTAGGTATTGTGAGCAGCTGGAGGGATGGTGGGGTCACATGTGGGGAGAGGGACAGATTTGGGGAGGGGAAAAACGTCAAGAATTGAGGTTTAGACGTGTTAAATTTTAAATGCCTCTCCATAAGACATCCAAGTGGGGACCTCAAGAAGGGAGTTAGATGTACAAGTCAGAAAAGGGAGGGGGGCGGTCAAGACACAACTTTAGGAGTCATTGGCTTATAGATGGTATTTCAAACCATGAGAATAAATGAGATCCACTGGGGAGAAAAATTTGAAGTCACAAAGAGAAGAATAGCCTACAAAGGCAACAAAGAAGTGGGCAGAGAGCTGAGAGGAAAACCAAGAGAGTGTGTGTCTGGAAACCAGGAGAAGCGTGTGTTTCAATGAGAAAAGGAGCAGCCAGCTGTACTGAGCAGTGGAAGAAGAAGAAAAGAAAGGACCGCATCTGTTGACTTTGGCAACACAGAGGTCATTAGAGACCCGGATGAGAAGTTTCATAGGAATGTACGGGAAAGAATTCACATGGGAAAGACTTAAGGAGTAGATGGGAAGTGAGGACATGGGGACAGGGAACATAGCCAGCTCTTGAGAAGTTTGTGAAAAGAGCAGAGACATGGTGCAGTAGCTGGAAGGGAGTATGGGGGTCAAGGGAATGTTTATTATTTTTAATATTCAGTTATTTGAATACCTACTTAATTTCACTGCCAGCTCCTTATTGAGCACGAAAATGTAAAATTCTAGGTTAATATTTATGAACTAGAGGCCCAGTGCACAAAATTCGTGCAGGGGTAGGGTCCTAGCCGCTGCTGGCTGCCGGCCGCGGCCTTCCTTCACACCCACCTTGGCCTGGTGCTGCCCACTCACCTGCTCCACCATCCCACCACGGTCCTGCTCTCATCGGGGCCCATTGGGCTGGCAGCGCCTCCAGTACCACCCACTGTTAGCACCATATCACCGACACCCGCCATGTTCTGTGCCGCACCCTGGTGGTCAATACATGTCTAACTTCTGGTCAATTGAACTCCCGCCCATAGGGACAATTTGCATATTAGCCTTTTATTATATAGGATATTATGTGATGTTTCCATAATGTAATTTCAAATGGAGCTATTTTTCTCAGTCAGGCAGAGAGTATGCCAATAATTAGGCCTGCCTCCCCCCAACGGCTTGGCACAGAAGAAGAAAGCTTGTTTCTTCATCCCAACTACCAGGGCCTTCCAGAGAGTAGTGTCTGTCCCCAGGTGCAGCCTGGGCCCCACGGGAGGCTCCGTTCCTACCTGGTTCTCTGTAAGGTTGAGCCGGGCTGCCAGCTGGGCTCTGTTCTTTCCTACTAGATTGTGCTGTTTTGCAAACACCTTCTCCAACTCTTCCAGCTGCTCCAAGTTAAACATAGTTCGAATCCTCTTTTGGGGTCTCTCCGTGTCCTGAAGGTCCTCCCTTGGGGCCCAGTCTGGGGGACTCCAGAGGCCTGGGCAGTGAATCAGCTCCAAACCTAAAGAGTAGGAGGGGAGGTTAGCCACACCCACCTACCCACCCAAGTTGGAGGGGAGAGAACAAGCTCACCGCTCCACTGCCCGGCCTTGCCCTTGGCTGGGTAACACAGCAAGGGGCATAGTGGGAAGAGACTGCACAGAAATAACAAAACAAGTGAGACAGAAGGGGCAATGTTGTGAGACTCCTGCCTCCACGATTCTCCAGCCGAGTGGCTTAACTTCTGACCCTAAGGGAAGTTGTTGAACCTTCATCTCTCCTTGCCCTCCACTCCTTTCCTTGGCTCCCTCAGGGACCCCACAGGATGAACAGAGAAGGGACCCTCGAGGGTTCCCCCTTTTTGTTCATCAAACAAATACTTTTTGAATGTCTGTCTATTAGGCATGGTTCCAGGACAAAATAGAAAAATCTCTGTATAACAATAGAAAAGGTAAAGAAAATATTGAGTATGTCAGACAGTGATTAATACTAGTGAGAAGAAAATAGCAGGAAAGGACAGTGAGTGTGTGTATATGTTGGGGGGAGGATAATTTGCATTTTTAGAAAGGGAACTGAGGTGATATTTGAATAAGGCCACTATATGCAGTTTGTGCCCTGCACAGGGGTACCCAGCTGGGCGGGTAAGTGGAGTCTGAAATTCTGCTCACTCTCCACAGGCCAGTAGTTGCCCCCTGACAAGGTGCTGTGTCTGCCTGAAGGAAGGGGTGGCTTTTCCCAGTGCACACACAGGTGCTATTCAGCTCGCGGAGATGTAGACAATGGAGGTGAAGATTTGTCCACCAGGGTCAGGTACCTGAATCATAACGCGAAAGGAACGAGAAAGTGGACCATTTGGCTGTCTGGGAAGGGAGTGTTCCAGACAGAGGAACGGAAGTGCCGTGCTAAGACCCCCTCAGCTTCCATTAGCCTTGGGGAGGCTCCCAGGGCTGCAAACTGCTCCAGTGAAGGGAGTGCGGCCAGGACCATGGCTGCCCAGGACACCAACCACTGGGCAAACCAGACTTACCGTAAGTGTAAGCAACATAGCAAGAGGTGAGACACATTAATAGGGTCTGATTAAATAAAGTATGGTGCACCCTTACAATGGACACTCCGAGGTGTAAAGAAGCTCTGTGTGGATATGAAAAAGTAAGGCACAGAGCAGTGTGTCTAGTATGGGGGGAAACTAGTATGGGGGGAAACGTGTGTGTGTGTGTGTGTGTGTGTGTTCAGGTATTAAATATGCATAAAGTACTTCTGAAAGAATCAAGAAAGGCGTCATGGATTGCTTGTGGGATGCGGGTCACTAGGTCTTTAAAGGTCAGCCACTAAGTGGTAGAGGGAATTTCTCCATCTGAGTAAACATTTTTTTCTTCCTGAAATCAGATACTGTATTAGTAAACATTTTGACATTTGAACTGTGTGAATGTAATAGCTACGCAAAAACGAACTTGAAAATGGGACAACTTTAATGTAAAGTAGTTACGTGCAATTCAGACCTCAGATGGGTGAGGAGGTTAGAAACCGTGGCGGGGTGCGATGGGCCTGGCTCCGGCGGCAGTGGCATGAATTTGGATGGGGTCAGAAGCCAGGGTTTCTCTCCAACATGGGTGGGAGGGACACCCCTCCAGAGCCCTGAAAGCACTCTAAGAAAGCAGGCTCCGGGAGGTTCAGGGTGGAGATGAGCTCACAGAGACGTGAGCAGTGGAGGCGGCACTGGGGCGTGGAGATGGCCAGCTCCCAGCGGCTCCCCGCTGACCTGCACCACCTGTAGCATCCGCTTCTCCCCGCTAAGACGGGGCCATGGAGTCACCGTAAGGGCTGCTTTGGGGAATAGTCTGCGCCACCAAGCATGGTCCAAAGGGGGTGTGGGAGGGAGCAAATCCCTCGTGGAGGACGCCGAGCCCCCTGCAGTCCCAGCGCTGGCCGTGGTAGCCTTCCGAGCCCCGCTTGGGTCCTCCGGCACCTCTCACACACAACGGCTCCCACCTCAGCAGCCTGCGGGGAAGCCTGGCGCCAGGGCTGCTCTCAGCCAGCCCTCCGGGGCCTCGGTTTCAACTGCAAGGTCACGGGTCATCGGGCCCTTTCCACTCCGATCGTGTGCGGTTCCCCAACTCAGGGACTTCTCCTCTAACCTGTGCAAGCCACTGTCGGGGCTTCACGCTCCACCTACCCCGCCTGCTCCCCGGGGCACCTCATACCTGTGACGCCGAGGCCCTGGAGACCGCCGAGGTGAGCCGCGCGCAGCCCCAGCGCAGGGGGCTGGGGGGACGGCTGGTAGAGCCCCAGGCTCAGGTAGGCGGGCAGGCAGGGAGCGGGGCAGGCGC